GAGGGGGGGAGTGAGAGAGAGAGAGAGAGAGAGTGAGAGAGAGAGAGAGAGAGAGAGAGAGAGAGAGAGAGAGAGAGAGAGAGAGAGAGAGAACGGGTGTGTTATTGAATGTTTTATTCTCTCAAGTTTCAATTTTATTGTGACCGTCAGGTAGTTTTTATTGCATTCCTGTTTTGTTCTAGTGACGCCATTGTCTGGCTCACTGCGGGGCCATTTTTCTCATATAAATGTTTATACATTAACACATAATACGCATAATACTGTTTTACGTACACTCACGTCCATTAACTTTTACGATGTGATAACTTTATTAGATCTAATGTAATGCGTATTGAGCACTTTAAAAAAAATGGAAAGTGAGCAGCATAACTGCTATTTATTATTATTTTTATTATCAAATTTGTTAATCCATTTATCTCCAAAGTTTGCTCCACGAAGTGAGAACCCAGTGGTTGTAAGGTCGTGGTACGTTCCTCACATCTTCACCTGTGCCAAACAACCCACATAGCACGCTGTACATAGAGGCAGGCTAAATCATTGGATACACACCTTGTATCCTGAAACATTGACACAAACAGGTGTCTTGTGTCCTGTACTATATCACTAGCATACCCAACCGTCCAATAACACCATCTGTCTCTCTGTCCCAGGCGCCTACTACCATCAACCGTCCACTAACCGTCTCTCTGTCTGTCCCACGCACCTTCTACCTCGGTGTGTCCTGTAATATGTCCACTAACACCATCTCCCTCTCCCCAGGCGCTTTCTATCTCGGAGTGGACGATGCCCAGTTCTCCGCCATCTTGTTTGGCTCCCAGGTCTCCCAGCTGTTCTCCTTCGGCCAGTACACCGAGCTGGACAAGATCTCCGCTGTGAGTGGACACAGGCTGGGTGGTTGTGGTCCTTGTGGTTACAGTTTTACGGCACTTACAACACAGTTAGCTCGTCATACGCCTCAGACCATCACTACTACTACGAGGGGGAGAAAAAAGTAACGCAAGTTGGTTATAACTCCAAGAAAAAAGAACGCACTGGCAACTGTCATACGTCAAATTGAAGGGGAACATCGGAGGATCAGATTTCTGTATCTCAACGTAGTCTCCATTTCGTTCAAAAGCCATTATCCACCTTTGACTAAGTCCACATAGATCTATGCAAGCTTCGTAAAACTGAGCAGGTTGTGATGTACAGCAGTTTTGATTTCTCCATCGTTTCAATAGTGTTAACCTCTTCAAAACGAACAACTTGCATTTGACTCCCTCTCGTACTACACATCATCACCACACCACCACCACCATCACCACCACCACCACCACCATCACCACCACCATCATCACCATACCTCCACCACCACCACCACCACTGCTACCTCCCTCCATCCCTCCCCCTCTCCCCCTGCCGCACACCCCCATCACGCCTTCTAACTCTCCCCTCTACCCTCCCCCCCCCAGGCCCTCCACGGAGCCCAGTACTCACAGGGCGGCTCATGTGGCATGGCCGGAGCCTTCCAGTACGCCTGGCAGACTAGCTTCACCACAGCCTCGGGCGCCCGGCCAGATGTACCCCGGGTGGTCATTCTACTCACAGACTCACAGGCGGAGAATGGTCAGTGGCTTACAGGGGGGAGGGAGAGGGGTGTGACAGGCCAGATGTACCCCGGGTGGTAATTTTGCTCACAGACTCACAGGCGGAGAATGGTCAGTGGCTTACAGGGGGAGGGGGGGTGGCAGGTGGTGAGTGGGTGGGGCAGGGGGTGGTTGAATGAACGTTTAGTGAATGGTTTTCCCTTTACAATGAGCAATTTGTTCATTCGTTTTCTTCATATTTATTGCAATTTGTTGAATGGGTACTAGACCGTCTAGATCTGATTTGACTTGCCATGACGAGGGAACAAAATCTAGCACACAACGGCCAAACGGTCGGTTGGGAAGGAGAAGAAGTGAGAGTAATCTCCCCTGTTTTATTGGAATTTACTAAACAATCCACAGTTAATTACCGAAACGTAACAATAACATGAATGATCGTAAGATCACAAGAGAGACAAACAGACAGACAAACAGCGACAGAGAGAGAGAGAGAGAGAGAGAGAGA